GAGAATTCGGTCAATTGATTCAATAAATTGTCTGATTTGAAGTTTTGTATTAGAGTCATTCAACTGAAAAGTTGTTAATTAATCCCCTGGAGGAAGTTTAAATTCCGTTAGCTTCAATATACCTTGTGGCGTCACGAAGAAATATACCCGAAAATACCGTTCTATCGAAAGTTTCAAGCCGTTGTTCACTCCCTCGTTTATTCGAAATGCTACCGAATTTTGTGTGTGGATCGAAGTTCGTGGCCTATTTTGCGCGATTTCTATTTATGGATGCCTCTTGGTGTTCAAGTTTTCATTTTACATTTATGTCACATTCTGCGTATGAATCTTTCATTTCGTGCAAAACCACTTGGACTCGGTGGTTTATGCGCTCTGAATCCTCCCTGATTATCATTCTGCCCCATAATCGCAAAGAAAACAAACAAAACACACACACACACACACACATCGAGTGAACGAGAGCGGGACAAAGCCTCAGCGTCGGAATAGGTGAGCAAAAGTGATGTTGCAACGTATATCTATTCGATGGTACTGTAATGAGCATTACCATGAAACTAAGTAATTATCCAAGTAGAAAAATCTTGGGTGAAATCCAAGTAGAAGTCTCGCATCGTTGGGAAAATTTTCACGTGTGCTTGTGTGCGGTCGGTATGAAAAATATCACAACAGCGATTGCCGGGTAGAGGGCCATAGTCGTCGAGGCGAATCTATGCGGTGGAAACTTGAAAAATCATCTTGAGAACGTTGGTTTGTTGATGCAGAAAAAAAAATGCTTATATTCGCTTTCATTTTGCAGATTTCTGTCCGCTCTATCATGTTGTCAAACGTAATACACGCTTGAGTGCGATGCAGTGATATATTTTTTTCTATTTTTTTTTTTCGTTCGTACTGTGTGTTGCGATCATTTTGTTTCTATGGAATTGAAGTTTCACAGCAAACGGTGTGCTCCATTTAGCCTACAATTTCTTTTTGCATACCATTTGGGCTCTGTAACGTACACATCCAAAGACACGAAGTGGATGATGAGAGAACGAGAGCTAAAAATGCCAAAAGCTTGGCGAGCTCATTTTTGAAATGCGAACATAAACAACATAAAATGATGGTTGTGAATAGAGAAGCCAGCGAACACGAGAGTGAATGTGAAAAAGAAGCGGGACGAGAAGAGCACAGCACAGTGCAGAGGAACGCATTTATATGTATATTTGTGCTGCGAGCTCTTCTTCAGTTTAGCATAAAATTTTATAAATAAGTAATAATGTAAATTTCTGTTGTGCAATTTTCGTTTCAGTTGATGAATAAGAGAGCGAACGAAGCAATGTGCAAAATGTGCTTGCTGTGCCGTGCTCTCTCTCTCTCTCTCTCGCTCTCTCTCTATCACACACACATACTTTTGCTTATTGTTTGGTGATTTTCGTCGTGAGCCAACGCAGAAAAAATCGTACGTAATTTTCATCAAAAACCTAAGCTTAGACTTCAAATAAGGTGGATGTGTTTGTCTGGTTCTGCTTTTTCTTTCTCTTCACGGTGAGCAGTTGACTCAATGGCTGGCCATTTATTTGCTTAGCTTACTGCAAGGGGACGACGACGACGACGACGACGAAAGCAAGTGAAAATGAATGAAATGATTGTGTGTAATTTTGTACTTTGGAGGACAACGACGCAACACATCTTCGAAGCATATAGTCTGAGATGCGGCTAATAAATGCTCATATATCTTACACATAACGATATGGAGACCGAACACATCACATGCAAAATTCACCACGTGGTGTACGCTTACGCGAATGTATGCGTTCATTTTCAAGTGCTTTAGCTACTTCGTGTTCGTGCGAGCGCGCGCAGAAGAAGAAAAAAGCCGCCTTGAAAATCACGAAGAAATTCATCTAAGTTTATAGATATTTAAGCTCTTAATGAATTTTCTGCATGAAAAACGTGCAATTACTGAGAGTTTATGAGTGAGCAGCGAGAAAATGAGGCGAACGATGCTGAGCGAAGTGTACACACGCACCAGTGGCTTGGATACAAATCGGTGCCCTGTGAAACAGTGGCAACGAAAATAACCGAAATTAAATCGAGTTTTCCATACACACACTCTTGTTCTTGTTCAAATGGCGACGCGTTTTTACCAACAAAATTCAAACTATACATAGACATAAAATCTCGAGCATTTTTAATTTTAACCAAGCGAACATAATCGTGTCATCTGCCAGAGCATATTGCTGCACCACTAACTGTATAAATTGTTCATACAGCTCGACTCTCACACTCTAAATTATCAACCCGAAATTGTGTGTTATTATTTCGAAGCTCTTGTGATTTGAACGAATGCTGACTGATTGACTGTGCCGAGCAAATGTTAATCCTTTTTTCCAAGGAAATGATTTTCATTTGGTTTGATTCTCTCTCAAAATGTGGCTAATTTCGGCAGCACTTGATGTTGAATTCATCAATTCATCGCCAACATTTTGAGTTTTCTGCAAAAGTATTAAACAAGAAAATTACAACCACTGATTCGAAATTTTGCGTGAGGAAATGAGAAAACAAAATCTGACAATACAATCAGAAAACCCGATATTTTGAAGGTTGAGTTGTTATTTAAATCCAAAACCATCTGTGTCAAACAGATGATTTCCTACTTTGAATCAATAAACAAGGGCCAGAAAAAAGTGTGTTTGTAAGAGAATGTGTGTTGGAAAGAGAATGAAGGAGCGATAAATAGAGGAAGAAAGAGATAAAGTAAGCCTTAACATCTTTCGAGATGACATAAGGACCGAGTAAATGTATCCAGACAGGAAGCTCACGCGGCTATGCGGAATACAGGCTGAAAACTTCGTCTCATCGCATCAAATGACAAATAGGGAAAGACAATTCCATGAATGCTTAAAAGACGAAATGAAAGCAGAAGCGGAAAAAAACCACCACCACCACCACCATCAAGTTTCTTCCGTTGGAAACAGACACGAAACAGTATGAGTGAAAACATAAACCTGTTTGCATGCGGTTTTATTTTGATAGAATAAAATATGTGTTTTTCTCCATAACAAAACTTTCATTTTTCCGCGTTTTCTCTCTTTCTCCCTCTCTCTCAAATTGCGGCCGAAGCATTTGTTGCTTATATATTACTCGAAGACGCTAACCGAGATATATCGAATATTTTCGACTACACACAAAACAAATGCTGTGTGTATATCTAAATGCATATTTGTGTATATGTTGACGTCAACATTTTGCATTGGGTAATCGCATATTGTTACAAAAGAAGAAAGAGATTGCAGCAAAAACATGAAAATTCAAACTGAAAACTACAAATTTTACGCAAAGATACGAATTTTGTCGCCCTTCGAGAAGGAAAGAAACACAGACGAGAAGAAGATTATGAAACGTGTGGGAGTCGCAGTCGGTTTTAGCCAAAAGACTCGAAAAGTCTGAATAAAATCCCTGCATTATTTGGTTTTTGTTTTTGATGCTCTTGTTTTTTTTTTCCTTCTCGAGCTTTGTCTTATTTTGCATTTTCTTCGAGTGTCGGCTACGATTTCGTATAAATCAAGCAATCGCATCGTCTGTAATAAATGCAACACATAGACAACAATCTTTGAGTTGGATTTTTTTCTCTCGTTTAGAAGATTTATTAAACTTTGAATACAGAATAGCTCTTCCGTTAAAATTGAGAAAATGTTCAATAATAATGACTAAAGCGAAAAATAGATTTGACACTTATGGGCAAAAATTTTGACAAAACGAGCAAATATACACATAAATCGGGTGATATTGAATCGTGTTAAACAAATTTATGCATATACATATATATTTTAATGGTAAAACGGGTGATATCCGATCGTGAGAACGTACAATTAATGTATATATTTTAATGGTAAAACGGGTGATATCCGATCGTGAGAACGTATAATTAATGTATAAATAAATGGAAGTGTATGGTCGAGAAACAGTGAATATAAAATTGAACAGTCGTTAACCGAGCAGCTCAGCGCCAAACAGGGCTGTAGCCAGGATTTTTCCTAGGAAAGTGTGGTTCCACTTTACCAAGTGATAACTTGCCCCGAAAAAACAACTATTTTGAAAAAAAAAAAAAAAAAAAGTGACCACTTTTTGAAATTTCGATTTTTCGCGAATTTTCGAGGTTTTTGACCAATAACTTGAAAAATGTCCAAAAGCCAGCCCACTTTTTTTTTTTTTTTTCAAAATAGTTGTTTTTTCGGGGCAAGTTATCACTTGGTAAAGTGGAACCACACTTTCCTAGGAAAAATCCTGGCTACAGCCCTGAGCGCCAAACAGAGTTTGCAACAGAACAAAATAGTGAATTGTTATCTACTCGTAGATATCTTCTTCAAGTCTCCTATAAGATAGGAAAAGAGCCGAACTCACTCTTCATTTTTTACTTGCAGTAATCTTTTTCCTTTCTACCAAGGGAATGAATTGCTCTGTCTTTTTTTCCTTCAAAACAATAGTATTCTTGTAGCTATTATTTAGTTATCGATGTATATTATTTTTAAGATAATAGAATTGTACACTGATTTACACAGCACATGGATACGAGCAGCAAACAAAGAAAGTAATGGATATATGGATATTATATTAATTAGAAATGTCGTTAGAATGCGTCATGATTCATTGCAACGTCTTATGTGAGTTATGCAAGTGAACAGAAACTCGTGATAACGAATTATTACTTATTTCATGTACGTACTTTCTTTTTTTTCGAACCGATTCAAAATCGTGATAAAAAAAACAAGTTTTGAAATAGTTTCATTTTGTAGTTTTCAACTAGACGCACACGAGTTAAGTATAAATTCTTCTGAATTCTAAATATTTAGTGATCATTTTTTATAAAACGATCTCAGTGAATGAAAATGGTTGAAATTAAATACATTCCATCCAATGTTTTGGCTGTGTTGATAATTTGTTCGCCGATATTTCAATTCAGCTATTCTACGGCTGAATCAGAGGTTTGATATGGGATCACTTTATTTGCAAATGTGATTTTTCAAAAGTTGTCATTCACAGCAAAACAGAGATGGTCATTGTGTATGGTACGGCGTTTGTAAAACTACTGGCAGTTGGTGTATGTTTTTTATGAAATCAATTTCCGAAGATTTTGATCAAATTTTGTGTGCGTGTCAATTGTTTTGTATTTAATATTTCACTCATTTTTCAGTCAACAAAAAGTACCTTTACTGCAGCTACAACGGAACAGCCAAACGTTTAAATAACGATGGACTTGAAGAATTAAATCAATACTGTTCGTACTTAACCCGAGGACGAAAACATACTTTCACATGCTGTGATAATGAACAGGTATGATGTGTTAGTTTTTTTAGTAAAATTGAACAAGACTTTTTTTTTAACGTCTTTCGCTTGATTCAATCCGATGTGAACTATTAATTAGCTTAACTTTATTTCACACATCAAACTACTATTATTTTTCCGTAGATCGATATTATGAATGACGACATAAAGTGGTTAAAGCGGTTTCTCAGCTCGAGCAATTGTCCAGGATGTTTTGAAAACTTTGCGCGGCCAATATGCGAAATGACTTGCAGTCCAAAGCAATCACAATTTTTGAAGGTGCAAAAAGTGGAAGCAGCAGATGCAGGTAATATGTCTCTCTCGCTGTTTGATCTATCGAATTTCTTTCCTACATTTCTGACTTTTATCTTGTAGATTATCGGCCTTATGTAAAGAGTATGGATTATTCAATAGCTCATCAACACTTAAAAGCCACATTCACATCATGCAAAATGGTAATTCGTTAAAAAGATGTTTGATTTTGAGACCGATTCAATTCAGTTTCATGGATTTTAGGATATTTTTCGAATATTTTAGGTCACATTCTTATTCCGGCCTGTCTTGAATTATATGTGCGGCGATGCGAAAGGTGAAGACTGTACCCTGGATAAATGGAGAAATTATTTGATCGAATTCTCGAAAGAGTACCATCCGTTCCAAATAAACTACATTACAGAGCCCATAAAAAATTACACTTCAATCAATGTACCTTGTTCTTAAGCCGTTAATATGGGTTTTTCGTAATGAAATGATGTCAATGAAATTGGATTGTTTTTTTTTTGCTATTTCAATTATATTTCTAGGCGTCGAAAGGAAAATATTTATGATTCGATTACAATGAACTCTGCTAAAAATTGAATACAGTGATCAACGGCCGATTTGTCAACTAATTTTATTACTTTCCATAAGAAAATGCTCCAATTGAATTTCAGTCAATATCCAAATTGTCAATTGTGAATCCAACTTCATATTTTTGTTTTGTTTCAACAAAATACATAAGAGTCATAAAATAAAATGCATCAGAATCGAGTATTGAAAGAAACGTCATGCGTACATGGATTTTGTAATAAATAATTTGTCGTTAATTTTAGTTGTTTTTTTGTTTTAATTTTAAAATGAGACTCTATTAAAGACAAAACCTTTGATAAGTTTTGATTGTTTTCTTTTTTTGTTCTTCTACTGTTTAAAACATTTTTGGTGTGATTGGCCCAAAAATAAGAAATTGGTACATTTACTAGTTCGAAATCAATAGAGTTTCCTCCAAAATGCACCTGTAAGTGAAAACAAACTAAACCATTTTGAGCAAGAAGCCATTTGCTGTTATTCTGAATGGAATTGGCATTAGATTGTGAGTGTGCAGAAGACAGCCTCCTAAAAATTAGTTATCGCCAAGTATTCAATATGAAAATGGATTGTATGCTCAAGCGTTTGAGACGTTAATTTATATTGTGCGAGAGATGTTAGCGAATGTATAGCTCTGCGACAAAGAATGGGAAAAAAAAACCCAAAGTCTGATTACGTGTTGTGATGATGCGTTGTTATTTGGTTGAAAAGCTCTTGAAATGTGAATTGATAAAGGCGACGGAATCGCAAGCAAACGAGCGAATGACTGAATGAAAGTGTGTGTGTGTGTGTGTGTGTGTGTGTGTTTGGAATTTCATTTCAAAATCGTTTGAAAAGAATTGATGATGCACCTGCTTCTGCCGCAGCATCGAACTGCAGGTATATCTAAGTATATGTAATTGTGCTGCCGGTGAAAATGCATCGCATTCAAAACACGCGCTCATCGCGCTGCACTTGCATCGATTCTCATTATGGTATTGCTCGAGTAGCACATATTAATGCATATTGTGTGAGCATCGAAGAGAAAGACGTGTCTCATCTCTCACGATTACACACACACACAGTCTCCTTCTCATTCTCATCGCAACAATTTCAATTACTTTTCTCTTTGGAATAAATTCAAAGCAAATTCTGGATGAAAATAGATGAATGATTTGTGTGTGTAGCGTTGAAAGGCTGAATGCATCTATGCATCTATAATGTAAGCAAACAAGCTTTTCACCTTTTCGATGAGATATTACAAGTGCAAATGAGTCGTATATTGTATTGGAGAGTATGAGCAAAAAATGAACGCTCGCGCCACATAGAACACAACATATTTGTGAGATAATGACGGTGTGTCGTTGAAATTTGTTTCAACTACATAACAATCTCATTTAGTTTTTTTTTGTTCGTTTCTAATGTAAAATATGGATTTAAGGCTCATTCTTTTAGCTTCAACCTTCGGCATCTCCAAGTTTCAAGTCAACTTTCTAGACTAATGGGAAAAAAAATCCTTCAATTGTTGATTACTAGTCAATGTTCGAAACGTTGGATACGAAATATGCAACACAAAAACATGACAAAAAAATCTTTTGATTTTGCTTTGATTGGCTTATGATTACACCGGCGGTTGTGGTGCGTACATATTTTTCATCCACATGAAATATGCAATTTATGAAATGCAAACATTGTTCGGTTAATGTTTTCAAGTGGGTTAGTTTGTTTCTAGGTGAATATGTGTATGGTTTATTTACATGGATAAAAGCTTAATGCTTGCCATTTCACTCTCTTCCTCACTTTTTCTCTTCAATACACAATTTTGTAATACAAAGTTTCCATGAGCACACGTTGAATTCCCGTTCATAAAATTTAAACTAGTTGTAAATTGTAAACAACGTCTTTTACATGTGTGTAGACATAACCAGAAAAATGTGTGTGTGAGAGAGAGAGAGAGAGAGAGAGAGAGAGAGAGACGCTGTGATGCAGCAAGAAGAAGAAGACGGAGGCGGCGGCGGCGGCGGCGGCAAGTAACCGAGACAAGTCGAGGTTTTGTCGGTGAGACGAAAGAATGAACGAAATGAGAGTTTTTCCCCGTAAAACAACAATCAACAAAAGTGGTAATAATGCATTTTAGCTGAAGTGTGTGAATCGGGTAATTTTGTGTTTGAGTTCTTTTCCCTTGTGGCTGCTTGGTTGCTTGTTTGGTCTTTCTCTATGGTTTTTTGACGACTTTTTTGTGTTTGCTCTGTTCATACTTATACTTTACAATCAAGTATTACTTTTGTTCATTCAGTCGGTTGCATTCCTCCATATAGCCTGGATGTTTTTTTATTTTGCTTTCTTTCTTTTGCCAAAGAAAAGTTTAACTTCTCGATTTGAGCTATGTGCAGTGTTTTTTTTTTATTTCACAATATTTTTTAATCGTACACCAAAATGAAACCATTGTACATAAGCCAACGATGCTGCAATTTTAATTTGTTTGACTCATGTACATTCCACCAAAGGCAGTTATGAATTTCATAATATGAAATAGGCAATTGCAATTCATGAACAACAAAAAAAAAACAACGTAAAACGTGTTGAAACGTACGGGAGCGTTTCAATTCAAATGGCTTCAATATAAATTCAATGCAAGAATTAAGAGCATAATCCGTACCAATCGCGTTATTTCCTTGAAAATCGAATCGATTTTATGAAATGCGGGATTTTTCCATTCATTATTCTATTCATATTTTTTTCTTCTTCTTATTCAATTCAATCCAATCCATCGAAACCGTATATGAAACTCGTGGTTATAGCTGAAAAATATACGCAATTCTGTTGGAGAAAAAAAAAACTAGCAGACTGAATATATGCAATCTCTCATCGACAAATATGACGATCAACAATTGACCGTGCGATGACATCACACTGCTGTGATAGCTTCTTTCTTGTCGCAACCAAAATCATTTCTTCCGATTCACCATTGCGTTTTTTTTCCAGCTCCTTGCATGTGTGCGTGTTTGTGACCCGGTTCAAAACATTTTACATGTCATTATCACAATACTCGCACTACCTTTACTCGACAAATTGTTTGTCTCCTGCTGACAAGCAAGCGAGTGAGAGAGCGCTCGCGCACGGCCGCATTCGGTGCCACTAATTGAACTTCGATGATGCAGCACTTTTCATCTTTATATTCATCTCTCCCTTTCATTTCGGGCACATTTTGCCTTGATCCGACTCGTACACAATTTTATTTATCGCTTTTTTTCTTCTATTCTTCACATCCAATTTTTATTCATTATATTTTCACTTTTTATACTCTCTCTCTCTCTCTCTCTCTCTCTCTCTTTCTGCCCTATCCACTTGAATGAGCGCACACACACTAGATACACACAATCGTTTGCATTGAATGCCGTCAGAAGCATTTTGCAGGGGAATAAATGATACGTGAACGCCATGTTTATAACATAAAAATACATTAAATATTCATTTATCATTCATCCTTTGTTCCCACCAATACCTTTGTTACAGTCCAGTTTTTTTTTTCGCCCTCTCCGTCCCGTTTTGCTAGTCCCCACGAATAATTAACAAATTTGCCTGATTAAAGACTGTTGGAAATTATGTTCGAATTTTGTTTTCAGGTTTATCGAAACTAATTTTTGGAACATGTTTCCGTTGAACACCACCACTCTGCCCACACAAAAACACGCGTTGATAGCACTCGAATATTCCAGAATTTCTTCCGATGTTGAAGCCGTAGGATTTGAAATTTTGAAATTTTGCATAAAACTTCAGAATAGGTAAAAAGATATCAATGGATGATTGACATTTCAATGACAATGCTAGTGGAAACTATCAACATTTCAGCTGATGGGCTACGAGGGAAAAATAATTGCAAAAATCCAAACGATACATGAATACGACATACAAATTAATCTGCTTCATGTTGATTGTTTGAGATTTTTCCACTTTGGTCTCTGCTACCAGAGAAAACGAAACGAAAAATCACATTTCGGCTTTCATATCTAATAAATAATTAGTGTCGACTTCATTGTACCGTGTAGTCGATGGCATGACGCTGCAGCCTAGGCGAAAAATATGCGGATTGCAAAAAGTTTTCCGATCAAAATCAAGCATGGGAGGATTTGCACAATCATGGAAGTAGAGAAAAGTTTTGCAGAGCAAGAGCGCAAGACAGTGTGTGCAAGAGGAAGTGTGAGAGCGAGAGTGAGAGGAATGGGCAGAAAGAGAGGCAAACATGAGAAAGGGAGTCGTTTACTCATCCATTTTCTTGATGATTGAGATTGTGTGCTGTGTGTGCGTACACACGTCTTCGCGTAATTTCTTATGTTCAGACGTTATTCCATTTCTGGCTATCCGTGAGCGGTTTTCTGTTGCTGTTGTTTTTTTTTTTGGCTGGTACATACATATGTATGGAGACACAACGTGAAAAACGTAAACAAAGAAAAATGACCACTTCATTTTTCATGTCATACAGATTGTTCTCTGTTCCCCTCGTCGCCGCTCCTTTTTACTTGAAATATTTCCATACATCTCAGCTGTACTTGCGATGGCCTCACATGAACTTATCGCTAAGTTTTTTTTTTCTTCGTCCGCTGCTTTTTTTTCATTGCTGCCGGTCATTTTACTCTCACATTGTTGTTGTTCGTTTTTTTTTTTTTTTCATTTCATTCGATTTTGTTGGCTCGTTCCGGAAGAAACCTGAATGCAAATTATAGAATGGATATGGAATCGTAGAACGCTATTTGATTTGTCTGAATGAAACGAACCAACACATAGAGCGTTCGGTGCAAAGAAATGAGCAGTTTTTTTTCTTGTTCAAATAGCCATTCATGTCTATTTTTGTTATGGGTTGCTCACTTTTTTCTCACTCGCAATACCCATTGACCGGCTTGGCTTGGCTTGGTTTGGGGAATTCAGCAAACCATAGAATTTGTGTGCGCTTTTTCAACGTTAACCGTCAGGCAGATCGTATACATTCAGCTTATTATAATATATTTACCGCTTTATGCTAGACTAGAGAACCGTTGGTTCAAGAACCTATTTGAAAGTAGCCCACCCCACACCACACACACACACAAGCACATACACAGCTAGAGAAGAAAAAAAAAATGTTCTGAAAAATTTATAGCCATACATCGTAGAACAGGATACATTATAGAATCGGGATAATTTTTGTACATAGACAATTACGAATGGAAATCGAGCAAAGTGAAACCAACCGACGACATTAACAACACAATA